AGGAAATTTTTAGAAAATTATACCTGAGGGGGACCACAGGCTTTTTTTCGTCAGAAATATTTTTGTACCAAACACTGATGAGTCGTTGTAGAATTTAACGCTGATTTCGAATATGCTATTAGTTTTGCCTTTTGCATTAGTTATTGTTATGAAAATTGGTCAATAAATGCACATTTTTCGTCTTTTTCCTACATAATATCATTCAACAGCGAAAAAATTCAAATTTCTCAACAAAAATATAAAAATTTGAAAAAACAAAATAGGTACTTTTGTAGCCCATGATTTGGCGATTCTAATGAGATGAGACAATTGTTTCTACCTCTTCTTGCAAAAAACTAGATAGCTTTACAAGAACGCTCACTGACACATACTTTTCGTGTGATGGAGCTATTTATATGAGATAAGAAATTTTTTTCTTTTTTAGGTCTATATCTAACCAAATAACAATTTCCTATTCAGTTTTTCATGCTGATTCAGAATATAGTACTTTAAAAATGATCAGAAAATAACTGAAAAAGAAATTTGCTGGTTTTCGTAAAAAACAAAATTTTAACATAAAAGCAGCATTTTTTCAGGCGTTCTAGTATTTTAAGATTTTCTCAGCCAAACAGTAACTAAATCGAAATAAAAAGTATGTATTCGTCATCAGCTTTTCAAGCTCTATCAAACCATATACAAATAAACGAAAAAGAAAATTTACTCCAATTCTGCTTTAGCGGCACCTAATATAAAAATGGTATCGATTTTAGAAATTTTTTTTATCCGGCAGGGTCGTTTTATTTCATTGAGGCTTGAATGTCTCTTTTGAATATTCTGAGGTAGACTATTTTTTTCATGATTCTTCCAGTAAAAATAGCATGTCGAATAGAACAAAAAAAGAAAGCAGAATTCTAATAAAATGCTCCAACATTTGTTTTTTAAATTAATATTAATGAGAAGCTTGGGGAATAGTTGTGATACGTAACACATTTTTAGTTATCAAATAATTGTTTCGGCTTAATAAATATTATTTTTACAGATAATGTGAAATAAAATATTCGTACGCTTGCCGCTTATTACTGTATATTAAAACAACTAATTTGTAATAAAAAAAAATGTTTTTCATTGTTATATTCGTTTTTGAAATCTATAGTGGCTTCAATCTCGGCGATGAATTTAGAAGACGAATACTTCAGACTATCGACTTCCACTTATTTAGTTTATTCATGACTCCATGTAAAAGTAGCGATTTTAAAAGCAAACGAATGTAGGTAGCAAAGAAAACTTGTGAGATAGAAAAAAATTCTGAATGTCTTCTACGCATGAAAATGAAATGAGCCTAACTTTTGATTACAACTCTAACAGCATTGTCGCTTTTCTTACTAAAAAAATCTGATCAGGTTAATGAAATATGCTCTCATTTAATTTTTCCATGGGAATTCGTTTCCCCTTGAGGGAATACTAATTTAGAAAAGAAAAATAGTTTTCTTCATCGTGAATGTGTTTTTAGCCTTGTCGTAGTCTGAAATCTACCAAGGTTGAATAATTTACACAATGCTAACTCTTAGTAGTAAACGCTGCGCAAAATATTGGACAAGCAGTTACCAAATTTATAAGAGGGCTAGCCATCCTTATCATATTAGAAATTAATCGATTTGAGTTCAGTCGGTGTACGTGATGGTATTTTAGACCTATGCTCGTTTTAGAATTCTCTCGAATTTCACATCAATCTTCGTTAACTTACAGGATGATGGATACTACCAGGATATTCAATTTTTTTCTGGAACACTAACAGAAAGTTTCATTTCAATGGTAAACAAAGAAACCTTGGCAGGATTACGAAATAATTACGCTTTCCGACTGCATCAAAACTAACTTTGAACAAGTTTTAAATAATAAATATTAACTTAAGTAAAACTGGGTAATCTATGAATTGCACGAAGAATCGCTAAATTATTGTGTAACACACTTTTATAACTGTAAGAAAAAAAGTTGTGGCTTTCATTTTAATTCTAAAACTCATTCGTCAATATTTAATATTAATTTTAGTTACATCTGGTTATACGTCACGATCGTTGAAACAGAATCATCATCAATATGAACGATTAAAATTATCTCGGGTTAATTTAGAAATACTTTCTAATGCGATGAAAACAACGTTAACATTATCGTATGATATTTTACTTGTTCTATTTCTTGAAATACGTCTTCATTGTTTTTATCATTTATCATTATTGTTTCGTAATGCATCTCATTATGCATCAGTTATTGATGCAGATCCTGATGAAAATATAATGACATTAAATCGTGATTTAACACGTTTACAAGAAACATTACATTCAGCATTGAATGAAAAAAAATTCTCATTTTTATTTCAAGGTTTTGGATTTGCTTTAGCAACAATATTAATTCGTTCAGCACCACGATTTATACACATAAGTGAAACGGGTGTAACTAAAATGTGTCGAAATATATTTGCCATTGAGCAAACATTAACACAAATTCGTACAGTTGGCGATGCTGAATTAATGCGTGTAAATCGTTATTGTGAATTCTTACATGCAACAAGAGCAGATGAAATTCTTGCAATTATTGAAGAACATAGATCTGAATATACTGAACATGATTATATTTATTTATTACAATTAAAACATCTAGGTTTTCCAGCAAGTGAAAGTGTAAATTTTAATTTAAATAAATACGAACAAATGATAAAAAAAAGCTTTACATCCAAATAAAGTTCTTAATAGGGAAAAAATAAAGGAAAAAACAATTTTCTGATTTTCTTTTTTTTTATATTATTAGCGTTGAGAGTCTGATGTTCGGCTCTTCTTTATTTTTATTTCAAAATCAAAAAAAAGTCTGCACACATACTTATCTACATAGATGGAGAAAGAGACACTTCGCACTTGATTTGTATTACGATTTGCCTAAGGAGATGTTCGTTACGATTTCCCGATATAAAAAAAGCATACATACTCTTCGGAATGACAAAAATGTTAAGCAAGCAGGGTGTTCGGAATGAAAGTTGTCCAATAGACCGTAACGGACAGCAGTATTTTTAAAAAACTGAAATTTGCGTGGCGTTCGGGATGAAAATGACTGGAAGATCTTAACAATGAAAACATGAAGATCGTAATGAAAAGAGGCAGGATGTTCGTAGCTATGTTCATGTGTACACTTTTTTGAGGGATTTCAAATGATTCAGTAGCTTGCAATAATCGTCTAACTAATAACATTTACAAGCGGAGATTTTTAATTATATAGTATTTCCATTCTCCTTAAGATAGCGCACTCTATAAGTCAGAGGTCCAACCAGACCTCAGTTTTGTAGGCCTGGCCTGCCTGCCTGCCTGCCTGCCTGCCTGTCATCTTTCTTCGGCCTGGCTGGGGCTCTGCTATAAGTATTATGATATACTTGCGATCTCCAGGTAAAATGAGTTTACGGACATCCGTCCATTTTCGTCCCGATTTCCTGACAGTATTTTACATATTGCCGACCATTTCGTTCCTGTTTCCCTGTATTTTTTTATTACGATATACTGACCAACATGTGTTACGGACTCCTGGTAAACATTTTTAAAGGAAAAATCAATTCCGATCTCCCCAACGGATTACCCGGTGTCGGGGACACTAGTACGTTTTGTCTTTGTTCCCATAGATGTCTGCGGTTCCACAAAATATGGAACCGGGAACCGAACCGGAACCATAGAAAAAGTTACTCAGGAACCGCTAAAGAAACCGTGGAACCGTGTCTTTTATATGATCACTGACATCAAGCTTTTTGTCAAAATACAATTGAAAAAGAAACGATTCGTAACTCATGCCAGGCGTGATTCTATACTGATCTTGAGGCGTAGATACAAATTTTTTGGTCAGCAACATCAGCAAGCATGGTCAATGCCCCACATATTGTATATCATAGCCACACTTTGATAGGTAAACGGTTCAACGGTTCCGTATAATAATTTTGGAACCAAACCGGAACCCCTGTTTTGAAATGATTGAGAACCGGGATCGGAACCGCGGTTCCGGTTACAGGTTCGGTTCCGGGTAATTTTTGGAACCGCAGACCTCTATGGACCTCTATGCTATCTATATCTGCCCTTGAAAAAAAGAAACACATGTGCATATGTATATGTATATGTCGGCTACGTAGATCAAGGGTCAAACTGAATGACAAAAGAATAGAGTGATCAAGGTTACATAACATCAGAAAGATCTAACAAGAGTGAACGAAGAGAGCAAGAGAAAAAATTGAAGAAAAATAACAATAACGAGGTGAATCCGCTAACATATATACTTATTAATTCATTTTATATTTCATTCAACAACAAAAACAACAACATTTAATCAATCGGCTATCTTTTTAGATTGATTTAATATATTGGTTCTACATTTGAAGATACAAATACTTATGAAAGTGAAACAAAATTATCAGCGACTACAAGTCGTACATATGCTCAAGTAGCCCGTGGTGCCGAAATCGTGAAAAGACCTGAAACGTTAAGTATATCAACAATTAATCCTCTTTTCACTAACTAACGTTTTTTTTATAGCTGAAAATCCAAAACAAAATAAACAAATAAATGGTAAACAGGAAAATATTTTCTTTTTCTACCACTGCACCTTCATTAGCACTTGTAGAAGCTCAAGAAATTTCACCAATTGTTGGAAAAATATACAAGATCAGATATAGTTTACATGAACTATTTGACATCCACGATGACAAATCATCAATAGTTGCATCATCTTCAAAGTCATCACTACGAAAAAAAGAATAACAGAGCTAACAAACGTCCATGTGTGGTAATCAGGAAATCGCCAACATCAGTCAATGTGTTACTTATTACTAGATTCTACCATCTTGATCCTACATCTGAAGTAGTTTTACCACAATTATCAAGAGAAAATTTATTAAAATATCTTTTATCAATTCATCCAGCTCCTCCAATTCACGGAAGAAAAAGTGTGAAGCAGAAATTATCACAAGGCTCAAGTTATTTTAATCCTGAAGAAAAGTATAATATCGTTTTAAAGGCGATTACTGTCTCTTTGGAAGAAGAATGGCCAACACCCTTCCTAGGTGAATCAATCCGATACCGAATCCCATGAGATTCTATGGGGTCCTACCACCCGACAAAATCCCGTTGGATTCCTGGTTGAGGAATCAATGTCAGATCCGACAGTCGTATTTCCAATCAAATCCCAAGCATTCCGGTTCCGATTCACGGTTGATGTCGGATTTTATCAGTTTCCGATACTAGGATCCGGTATCGATTCCGGAACCAGGAATCTGGCAATAATCCGATAGTTTCCTTGCACCTTCCGAAGAGCTCCGTCGGATTCCAATAGGAACCGATCGGAACTCATCGGATCCTAGGCTAGGATTCATTCTCCTGGGAAGTTCTTTCCGACACATTTCCAAATGATACACAATACATTCATCGACCTCTATATGCATTAATTGAAATTACCAAATCGAAGGTGGAATGTAATCTTACATCACTTCAATCAAATCTTCTTCCAATTCCGCTAATGGAACAAACATTTCAAATTAATATTACCGATGTTTTACCAGAAGATATGAGACCTAAATCAAATCGAATGGCAACTCTATCAATAAAGCGATGTGCATTACCACTCGTACCTGCTTACTGTATTACTACACATTAAAGTTAAGGTCAAACGTTAAATAATGTTGTCATAGATTTGAAACTACCCAAGGAAAATGATGATATTGCTGCAATTTATGTACCTTTGTCACGTGTAAAACACTTGGCCGATCTCGTCATTTTACGACAATTTAATTACCAAGTTTTTTTTGATCAAACCAAGTAAATCACAGCTTGCCAAAATTAAAAGACTAGATAGACTATATTCAGAAACATAAAAATGTTTTTCTCAGTGGTTTTAATGTTTTTCTATATTATGCAAGATTTTATTTGTCAGTATACAAGGTTTACGCTGCATAATGCATGGCAGAGAGTTTGTTTTTATTGTGCTAATTTTTATACTATATCTTGCTTCTCTATCCTGTTTACGTATTTCATTACGTTATAGTTATCTCATAGTTACGCTAGCTGTATTATATTACTATATTATTTAATGAATGTCGCTTTGCGATTTTATAGTTCATAGTGCAATATTGTTTATTAGATAATTCCTTTTGTTTTAATCTTTCATGCCTTCATTATTGTTAATAAATCATTTATGCTTGTACTATTATGCAAATAATACTTTCGATCTAAAGATTCTTCGGATCATTGTGAATATATATACTCACATTCCATAATACTATAGTGAATATTTTCTTATAAGGGTTCGGCTTACCCTAGTGAAACATCTTGTAAGTAAGATCTTGAAATCTTGGGATTGGTAGGTAAGATCTTATCAAGATCTTTAAAAGATAATTCGCTTATTCAGATCTTGTCCTATCTGATAAATCTGTACCTAAGATCTTAGCAAGATCATGGCAACGATTTCTTTTACTATTATCTTCTCACAAGATCTTGAGTAAAACAGAAAGCGACATCATTAGTTTATTTAGATAGGCTATCTAGTCATTCACCGTTTTTTTATGCATACAGAACAGAATATAAGAAACATGATTGAACATGCAAAAATATAACTTTACAAAATAAGTTTTTTTCTAAACTATTTCTCGATTATTGATTAATCGAGAGGATGCTGATCTCGATCGATGGTCGAGAGAGGACTACGATAAATTGGTCTGGCGAATATCGGACCAACTTAAAGCCGGTCAGATCTCAACATCTGATTTGCTTGAACTATTCGGGGCAGGAATAGTTAATATTAAAATATGTTGAAAAAATACCAAACACACTTTCAGAATGCATCCTTCAAGATGTTATGAATTCTTACTTAAGATCTGTAATAAGATCTTGGGTACAAGATAATACAGTTATCTTGTACCTAAATTTTCAAGATCTGTTCACTTATCTACACCCAAGATCTTGGCCAAGATCTTACTTACAAGATGTTTCACTAGGGCATGTCTTTCAAAACTTAGCAACTGATATTCAAATATGGTTATAATTTAGTGTGAAAGGGAACATAAATGTCTATATTAATTCCTGTATACTCATATCCATTTGAGTCATATTTTCTTGATAACGTATTTCTTCATTGAAACTAGAAACTCTAGTAGTGAAAACAAAAGAAGTCCTTGGTAATTCACCGCAAAACATCAGTATCTAGGTACTTTGAAAAACAGAGAACATCACTTTTCACATAGACAACATAACTTCACTATAACAAACAGTCATCGACACATAAGTGATCAATGTCATAGATCAACGCTCACTGAGAAAATATCTACTAAAGGATCATCTAGATTACTGAATTCCTATCTGAAGTCGTTGTGAGATTAGCTAATCAATTTTAAAGTATCTGGAGAATTTGAAAGATCTTACTGAGAATAAAAGTTATCATGAAAACATAAATTCTCAATAAATTACATCTAGCTTCATCATCAATTGTTCTATCCAAATTATTCAAACGATATCCTGTAAAAGCTATTCTACTGAAATCAGAATCAGTTGCATATAAAAGGCAACGATCTTCTATGTCATTCATAGTCTCTGAAGTGTTCATTGAGTAAGTGCCACGTGAAAACCGTTAGTGATTTGTTCATATCATCCTAGGACTCCTTTGAGTGGTAACATGTCTTTCTGCATCGTTTAAACATAAGTGTAAAAGTAAAAGACCATTGACTGAAAATAATATGAATAAGAACAGAATGACCATAAAAGAAAGAAAAGAATAATACTTTTAAACAAAAATTTGTTTGAATCGTCGACTTGTCGCCGATCGTAAAAATAATAGCGATTGCCCTATACAAATTCCAGCTTTTTTCTATATGAGTATGACAGTAGCTGCGTATAGTGGCTTGTATTATAAACGCAGCTTAGAGAAATATTTTTACCACTATTTGGATTTCGGAATAGAATTAGTTTTGTATATTTCAAGCTGAAATTCATATAAACAGATAGATATATAGTCACACACAACCTTACTCGTTGTAGCCGTGTGTCGTACTCTGAACAATAAGAAATAGAATATTCTTTGATGTGCATCGGAAGTCGCAAAATATTTAAAGAACATGATACCACACAAACTCCAGTTTGATATACGTATATTCGCATATACCAATGTCTCGCAAAATCGCTCAGGGATATTTTTAAGAATTTCATCAAAATCTTCACGTTTTCATCTAGCTTTCATTTCTGCTCACACTTATGGAAATCCCTATAGTATTTACCAGAGGCCAAAACAGGCCTACTTTTCCTAGGTCTGACCTGTCCGTGACAGTCTATCAACCTCTTTAGCCTGCCTGCGCCTGCTGTTTGTTTACGTTGGTCTGACCTGACCTGTTGAGGCCTGTACTTTGTTTACAAACTAATATTAGGACAATAATTGAGTGAAAGTAGTAAACTGTCATTATTAAAAGACAAGGAAGTTACGGATATCAAAATAACATGATTTAGCAAATGATCTATTGACTTAATACAGTATGCCACTGTTGAGTAAATACAAAAAACAAAAAATAACACTTAGAGAAAAACTATTTTCAAGTAAAAATCTTTGCAATGAATTTGATGCACTAGTTGAAGAGGAAATATTAAGTACGACCATATTAAAATAGTATAACTATGAATCAGGAACATTAGAGTTGGTAAAAGCTGTATGCCGAATTTTAACAATAGTCAACTAAAAACAGTGACTAGTAAATTACCAAAACACATAGATAAGCTAAACAAGTAACGTTCATCGACATCGAAAGTCGACTCATTGGGCCCTAAACTGACAGCGCTGAGGAGAAGAAATGCATGGACAGGACAGAAAATGTGTTGTTTGTGCCAGCAGCCGGTGGTTATATTTTTAAACAGAACTGTAAATGGGTGGGAATAAGTGCATCTGAGGTAAGAATTAGACGAAAATTAAAGGTTTCAAGTAAAAGCACTAAAAGTGAAGACGAAACACAGACAGAATGGGACTCAAAGGCCTTAGGGCGGCGGAGAGGTAGAGTCTTACCTAGCCACAAAAATACAGGTTCAGAAATATTATGATGGTTAACTAAAGTTCCGTAGGGGAACCAACTCGCCCCCTCCACTGACCATATATCCAGAGCGGACTGTTTCCCGTGACCAGGCCCTGCAGCCGTCCATGGTTTGTGCCGTAACAATGCCCACAGTGCCATAAAAATGGTCATTTGTGCCATAAAAGTGGTAATTTCTACCATGAGAATTGATCATTTGTGCCATAGAAATGGTCATTTGTGCCACAGAAATGGTCGTTTGTGTCATTGTTACAGATAGACAGACAGACGGACAGACACAGGTGAATTACGGTTTCTAGGCCTTATCCTTTCAGTCTAGGGAATACATAAATTCACAATCAGCAACATAGTAACAATCTATCAGTAATCATAATTGCGCTGAGTCCAGCTGATAAAATATCATTTATCATCCTCCAGAGCAAAGATCCCCCATATTACAATTTTATACTTACATTCCCTGCTCAAAGAATGAATTTTTTTAATGAAAATTTGGAAAAAATGATAAACAGGCGGCCTGCCTACTTTAAGAAGCCTGCCTGGCCTTCCTGGCCCGAACAGGCTCGAAAAACAAGGCCTGTGCCTGTCTCAGGCAGGCAGGCGCAGGTAGGCAGGTAGATCTGATGGCCTGTTTGATCTCTCGTATTTACCGATTCATCTTTTTATTGTCTGAATACGAATTGAAATAGTTTCATTAGTACTATGAATATTTCATCATTCAATTTAGATCGTGTTAGTTTCCTACGTGTAATTTCGAAACATTCCGTTATTCAAAAATCTTCATAAATATTTCTAGTCAGACTTACTTCGAAGTGAGGCAATCCATGCGTTGGCATCTCTCTCATCATACTTATTTTCTCGACAAATAGTAAGCAATACATCAAACAATGTTGTGTTTTCATTGTCAACTAGATTTTTAACGCCTTCTGCCTTTGATGTTTCGTTCTCAGCAGCATTAGATCTAAAATTAATTTCCTTAACAATAACATTTGTTTCATTTGTTATTTTCCATAGCTTTGGAAAGTTGAAATTATTTGGACATTCATATTCAATATCGAATAAATTCAGTAAAAAATAATGATTAAACGGACCAAATGCATCATTCTTACGTGTAAATAGTGTGGGGCGATAAATTTTACATACATTTTGATTACTTGTGTCGATTGGATCATTTAATATGGAAAGTGTATAAAGTTGTAAAAGTGATAATTTCCGATTGCTAATCTTGAATCTCTCATCTGGACTTGTGAGTTCAGTGACGAACTTACGTATATACAGATGATCATATTTTATCTTCAGGTTAAGAACAATCGTTTCAATGGTAGTTGGCAAATTTTCTGAGCTAGACTTCGGTGAAGAAGAACTTGCTGTTGATAGTTGATTTGATCCGACAGAGCGTGATTCTTCATCTGCAATTTTTTCACCTAGTAGAAAGTCGGCCTGTTGCTCCAACTTGAAATCGTCGCCATCATCAAATGTCGTCGACATGATATTAATCTAAAGTCTCTGGCAAAAATAGATGCTAAAAATCCGCTTTGAATAAAGTCAAAGTATTAGCAAGGGTTAACAAGGGCTTCTGTTTCTAACATGTGAATAACTTTCATTGAAATAGTGAGACACTGCATTTCATAATGTTCAAACTGATCGAAAAATCTCGATGGCTGATTATTAGTTTCCGGTTTATTGATTCTTTGTATCATAATAGCTGAAAACTTCTAAGCTATAACGCAAGCCATGAGAATAGGGTTCAAATTAGTTTCTCTTACAATAGAAAAAGCGCTGAATTTACCATTTCTAGCTACTTACTCCCCTATTACTTGGTATTCGGCTCTCCTCTCGTATTACAGATCCCAGCTTCATACACTGTAAAAAAAATCTGCAGAATAATAAACGGAAAAACGTTTTTGATAGGGTATTTAACAAAAAAGGGTTTATGAGAGTGCAACGTATCATGAATCCTTTTTTCCATACATGACGAAGATAATAAACGGTTTTTAGGTTTATGATTTGGAAAAAGGGTTTATCAGATATTTCAAAAGCGGAAAAAAGGGTATGTGTCACGTTGCACTTTCATAAACCCTTTTTTACAGTGTACTAGATGCCGCAAGATAACAAACAAAGAAACCAAATAACACTACCAGAGAAGAACTGATTTTTTCCGTAACTGTCTAGAATGTATTTCAGATCTTTCGGGATTTTCCAGACTAATAAATGTAAAATTAGAAGCAAAATCATTTAAACATTGACAGATGATACCACGCTGCATGGAACGGTAGTTTTCGATCAAAAATCGACAATACAAAAATTTGTTTTCAGATACAAATAGAAAACTTATCTGCAATCTGTGTCACTATTGACTCAAATGAATTGAAATCAAAACCAAAAGAAAACGAATTTCCACAAGAATTGAAAATCCTTGTCTGACTATATAAAAATTAGAAAAAAGAGACAATTGCGTAGGTTTAAATTATGAATATTTTCACCTTGTTGGCATCGTTTTTAAATAACTATTTGACATTTCAAAATATAGCTGAAGTTTTTGTAATAATACACTATGTTCCAACAAGAAAAATAGGAAATTGATGGCTCATTTTCTGGCATAGTTATAGCTGAACTTAGAGACAAAGTTAATTTGATTTCGTAAATAATTACAACTGAACGTTTATAGTTCTTTAACTTTGCCATAATTTTGGCTTCGTAACAGTTGGCGGATCCCTGTTAAAACAATAATTGGACTTTATACGTTCCACTGCATCTGGGCGATGCTTGAAATCTTGTTTGAGAGTTTCGTTCGTTTTTTCTTGAATTTCATAATAAAAATCATAGTAATTTTTCTGGATATTGGTTAGTGCCCGTTCGCATTGTGTAACTCTATCGAACCCTTGTTTACGTACGTCTTCATAACTGTGCATATGTTTCAGTGAACGTTTTAGATCTTCCTTTACATGAGTACATTTTTCTTCTTTTTTTATCATCGCATCATGATTTTGCTTTATATCCTCATTAATAAATCGTATTTTTTCCTGAGTTGCGGTCATAGTTGTTTGAAGTTGTTGCTTTTCTGAGTGCAAATCTTGTATCTTTGTCTTAATGTTTTCAATATTCTTATTGTTTCGTTCGATTTCGCGGTCTTTGCGGGTGATTTTTTCTTGTAAATATTCTATTTCATTTCCTAGTTTTCTTTCTTGTGCTTCTAATAAAAATAATTTTGTGGTAAGAGACTCCATTTTAACTATTTGTTCTTCAATTGCTGTTTCTTTTTCTCTAAGCAATATATTGTTTTTTTCTAATTTTTTTCTTGAGTCACTCAAATCTTGTTCCTGCTTTCCTTTTTCTTTTTTTAAATCTTCTATACTCGTTTCAATTCGAGCGAGCTCAATTTTATTACCTGCGAACTGCTGTGCTTTTATTTCCACTTGATTACGCTTTTCAGCGATTTCTTTTTTTAATTCTTGTACACTTTTCTTATTGGTTTCGAGCATATTTTGTTGATTTTCAATTTCAAGTCGTTTCGATTTTTCGTTGCTTTCTTTATCAGAAAGTGACTGCTTTAAACCTTGGAATTTTTGTTTCGTTATTTGAAGATTTGTTTGTATTACTGTAAGTTCACTAGCATTATCGGTGAGCTTCTTTTGATTTGAAGCTATCGATTGTTGATGTTCTTTCATAGCTTCATTATGGCTTTTGATAGTTTCTGTCATTGTTTCTATTTCTTCTGACTTTTTCTTTTTCAGTGATTGATTTTCAGCTAGATCTTGCCGATATTTATCGATTTCACTAGTGAGTGTAACTATTTTCGTACGAGTATCTTCTATCTTGCTCTCTGTATTTCTCTTTTCGATTTCTAGCTTTTTATGTTCCATTGTTGCATCTCGATGTTGAGCAGATATACTATCAAGTTTACTCCTACATCTGGCGGCATCACTTACTACGGCCGTTAATTGCCTATCTTGTTTGACGCGGTCTTCTGTTGTTTGATTCAATCGGTTACTCAAATCAGCAGTTTTATTCTGAGACGTTCGGTATTTTTGTGTATTATCTAATAAAGTTTTCTTTTTTGTATCCAGTTTTTGTTCTGCTTGTCCCAACTCATGTTTAGCATCACTAACAACTTTCTCTTTATCTCTTTTTTCATCTTCTCCCCAAGTAATGAATAAAAACATACCCGTACTGCACTTTCTTAACTCTCGTTCCTTTTTTTCCAATATATTTCTAGCTCGTCGAACGTTTTCTTCTGCAATGTTCACTTCATGTTGAGCATTATTTTGCTGTTGGAGTGCATCCTGTTGCTCTCTCTCAGCTTGTGCCTTTTGATTCATTAATTCACGTTCTTGATCTCTCAATTGTGCTAGCAATTGTTCAGCTTGCTTTTGAGCATCAATAGCTTGATTTAGTTCCCTCGTGGCTTCATCTTTTCCTTGTTGGAGCTGCTCACATTCATCAGCCTTTACAGTCAAACTGTTTTCTAAATCTCGATTTAATTTGATGAAATTCTCTAATGATCGATTTTGTTCTTGCTGCTGTTGTTCTACCTTTGTAAGTTTTGTTTGGCTCTCTTTAATTAAGCTTTCACATGATGCCAGTTCGGATTTTAAATTTTTCAATTGATTTAAATATTTAATACGTTGATTATCTAATTTTTGCCAGTTTTTCATCAGATTCTGATTTTCAGCTTCCAATAATTTTCTTTGATCATTTAGTGTTGTAAGTTGTTTTTCATTTGACTTGAGATTTTCTTCTTCAATTCTAAGTTTCTCTTTGATTTCTGTAACTTCCTCCCTGAAATGAACGTTAAGAACTACTTAACAAATTATTTCTTATTTTGCTCCATACTGAATAAATGCTTTTAATGATCCGAACCAAAATACACGAGAAGCTTATCATGGCTGTCTAAATCTGTCGAGCTAACTCCAAAAAACAGAACACTCATATATTATCCATACTGTAAAAATTACTAAAAGCGTATCATTAGAGAAGTTTTCACTACAGATATTTTCGCTGGACTATTAAAAAAGCACCCTGGTATTTAACTATGAATTCAAATTTTTTTCTCCAGGATTCTGACATCAAAATTTTGAATAGTCTGCAAATTATATATAACTATGTACAATCCTCCGACTACATATGAGCATGCTATATTTTATTTCTCCTGATTGTGTCTGAGTTAGAGGTAGCACTTAAGCTTTAGCATCGACTTTTAAGTTCGAAAAAATACAGAATTAAGTGCTTAAATTTTAAAATATATGTTATTTCTATGAAAGAATGAAGTAAAAACAGAGAAAGGTGGTACGTTATCAAAACCTTATGTCGTATAATGAAAAATTGACTTTTCTTCATAGCATAGTGCATTATTCTATAAATATTTAAAAAAATGTACATCACTTAGCTCTAGGAGACAATTTATTATCTTGATAGACCGTTTCTGTAATTTTCGTAAGACTTTTGAGATTTTAATACTCCGTCATATATTGATTCATGCAGGTAATAAAACATTTTTTTAAGGGTTAGTATTCTACGCATCTTGGTTATAGTGAGTATCTACTTTGAACTCAACTTTTGAAGGGAAAAGTTTAAAGTAAAAGTAACTTTAACTTTCACATAAAAGTTTTAATTGCTGCTTTGATTCTAGTCGTTAAAGTTTCAAGCTAAAGTGCAATCTCTATGCTCGACCATTCCTTTTACCCTAAACGTAGAAGTCCTCGGATTTGAAATTGGAATGACAAACAAATTAATAAATCTTATGAACATGGGTGTCAATGAGAAAAAAGTACGATTTTCAATGTAGTTTTTACTATTTCATATTCTTTTAGAGACATTTGCCGGCTTTCAATCCATTATTATACTAATACTTTAAAAAAAATACTTCCAAGGTGGAGGTGTTAGTTTATATTTATTTTTGAGTTAATTTGCGAACAAATTAAATTGTCAATAATTTATAATTATAAATAAATATAAATATTTTTCGTATAATCTTTATTTAAATATAAATATAAATGAAAATAAATTTAATCTATATTAAACATAAATGACACGATGTTTCTCAATCTATCAAATATAAATTAAATTAAATTTAGTTACCATACATCTGAATAATACGTGTAGATAATCAGTATACATTATATTTTCAACGCTATAGCAGTAAATTCTCGTATTCGATAATGAATAATTTAAATGCACATTCCTAATCGTTACTTTCTAAACGATTACAATGGTTGACTGGTGCTAAATTCATGGTAGATATTGTTGAAGTGTGCAAATACGAATAGCAACTCTATCGGCCTATTAGCATCCCTAGTACATCTGCCAAAGTAATAATATCACAGTTTATGTTTCGATTTTCAAATGTTCTGCAGTGTCGAGAAATTCGAGTCGATATACGGCGATACAACCTAATGTATACGTTTTGAAATTCCGACTAAATTTCGAGAGCGAACGTGCCATTTTCAATTTAATTTTTCAAATTTTAAAAGTTTCAATTCATTACTCCTATTCTCGGTTACACAGATAATTTTACTTACACATCGGACGTTATAAAACTTAAATATCCGAAATGAATAAATCTAGTGATGCACCCTACAGGAATCTTATACAATATTGTACTAGCTCGAAAACACCCTACCATGTTCAAAGTAAAAGAATCGCTACCATCATCCGAAGGTCGGGTTTCTCGAAATTTTCGATAACATTCAACTGTCAGGGCAGCTTAGGTATAAAGAGTGAGGGCTACTACCAACAAAACTGCTGTGCGAAGCAAGAAGGAGAATCATGAATGATAGTGTCGGTTAATGAAGTCTCTATGATCCCATATTGTTCTTTGGAAAGCGAGACTGGTTGAGCTTTTTCTGAGTGCTGTAAAATCATGCGGAACACCATTTGTGTTGATATTTCCGTGTTTGACGTTCCATTTTGGTGAATAATAATTAAATTCTAACATAGAATTTATCAATACTGCATTAAATATCTATTACATTAACAAGTACTCGACGTGAGTGAATTCTATAGTCTTCTTGGAAGCCTCTTTTCAAAATGGAACACTCAAATCCATAAACATTCAGAATAACACTGAACTTACAATTTATCTTTACTATCCACACGCATTATACGGATTTATGGGAACTTGACTTAATTTAATTTATATGTAATAAATTAAAAAATATTGTGCCATCTATATTTAACATAAATTAAATTCGTTTTCATTCATATTTATGTTTAAATACAAATTATACGAAAAAATTATTTATATTTATATTCCCAGGTCGAACAGTCCGGCCTTGAAACGGCCGGTTCCGGGTAGTTCCGTTGATTTTGTGGAAACAGTATTCCGGTTGGAAATTTTTCGGATTTTTTCCGGTGATTTCCGATCAATTCCTGCCGGAAATCATCGGAACTTGGCAGAAATTCGCCGGAAAAGTCCGGCCGTATTTTTGACCGGAATACTGTTTCCATGTTCCAGCAATTTCCTGTGTTTTCCTGCAGGATAAGTTGACTTTCCCGCATATTCGCTGGAGTATCCTACGGGATCCGGTGGCCGAAATGTTCGACCTGGGTTGAAATAAAGGTAGATTAACACCCCTATCTCCTCTTATCCTTCTAAATACCACGATTGATTGACAGGGTTAGAGCTTTAGGAAAGAATGTCATAGTAAACAAGCATTGCTAGAGGCTAATTATTGAGAGTAATCTTATTCATAATAATAAATGTCACCCGTGGTAGATGACAGGTTAATAATCAATTTGCCGCAAATTCCTACACGAAATTACTTTTAAACTATAGAAGATTGGCGTTCCTTTGGAAAGACAGTAACACCCATACTTTGTTTTGGGTAAAACAATTACCAAAACAAATGTTTACGAGAACGACAAAAAAATGATCGATTCTACTAGTTATCGCTACCAAAAGGTAATAGTCTTTGCTGAGCTAATTAGTGGTAATCTATAGTTGCTCATGCCTATTTAGAATTTTGGCTTTAATCTTACTTCAATGAATTTAGTTCTTTCGTGAGTCTTTGAATGTTTTCTTGATACCCGTCGACGGCAGTCTGCAAACGACTCAGATCTTCATCTTTATCCCTCAATGAACGAGTCAACTGTATGACGGCAGCTTCCAGCGCAGCTTGTTCTACTTTTAAATCTCTCTGCGTTGACAGTAGCGTATTTTGCTCATCATTCAAGCGCTCGATATTGGAATTGATTTCTCGCAAGTGTTCTTCTAACTGTTTAATTACATTTTTTAACTCTTGAATTTCATTTTGAATCCGTACCAATTCAGCTTTCATTCTTTCCAATGCCACTTTGTTTTCTTCTAATTCATCTTTAGCTTCCTTTATCAGTTGTTGTAGCCCGTATAGTGACAATCCTAATCTATTTCGTTCATCGATTATCTCTTTCTCTTTGTATTGCTTCTCATCACATTCTTTTTGAAGTATTTGTCTCTCTTCGTTGAGTTGACGTTGTTTTTCTTGATTTTGTTGAAGCTCGTATTCCAAAATTTTAAAACTAGATTCTTGGCCGTCATACTCATTCTTGTTACGGACAAAATCTTCGATTAACTTTCTTTGTTGATTATAGAGTTCACTTTGCTTCTTTTGTAAATTTTCTAGTTCCTTCAACTCATTTTGCATCTCTTGGATTAAACCATCATGTTTCTCCAAATTTGCATCTGCGTCTTTGGCATGATTATTCCGGAGTGTTCGAGCACCATCTCTCTGTTCTTCTGTTTGTTGCTTATTTAGAAAAATGTCTTTTTCAAATGTGTTAACTTGGTCCTTGATTGCAGCGATATCGTTTGTAGCCGTGTGTGACAGCTCTTCGCGCACACTATCAGGTACATAGCAGTTACCTGAGGTCATTTCGACAATTGAGCGATTTCACACGGAAAACAAATTATCTACAAGAATAGAAATCAACATTAAATTATAGTAACCAGGATGTCGGTTTTAGCATAAAACCTGGCAGTTTATTTTCTAACTTCAATAGTGACTATATTTTGGCTAAAACCTTCAAAGTAGCGATAATACACTTTGCAGCTTACTTAGCCGTATTCATTTCTGCCCACGAAAAAATAAATCGTATGAGACAGCGTTTCAACGCGAACTTTTAGAAGAAAATACTATTTTATCGTTTTAACGCATCACTTTCTCTCTCTACCGCATTCAAACGCATGGTTTTGTGTATGTAACACGCTGAAATGCATTCTTTTTTTTATTTACAACGGGCTTTTTAAACTTAAAATACAACTTTAAAAACGTCGTTCAATGGGTTTTTTTTCTACGTATTTATATCATTTGATTCGCTCTGCTTCTCACTGAGTTTTTTTATCAACGAGTTTTTTCTGATAGACACTCGAGCATACGTATTTTAATCTATATTTTAAACTATACAATGTTAGCGTAAAAATCTAGTGGTCTTTGTTTCCGTTCTGATAACTGAAATATTTATACTTAACTCTATTTAGAATTTTTCTTCAGTATTTCATCAAATGAAAATGTGACTAAATAGGTCGCTAATTTCCTACTATATCGAAAATTAAAATTTTGAAACAACTGAAAGCAAAAATCGCTGAAAAAGTCACAATTAATATTGTGAAATACTAGAACTGAGCCATTTATATTCTAAAAAAATTATTTGACCTTAAAAAATGTCTTCAAAAATAATTTTTTAAATAATTTAAAATGTTTTGTGTGGAGCTACTTTGAATTATTTTAAACGTCAATTCTCGCAATTTAAATTTACTTTGAATTTAAATTGAATTAATTCAAAATGTATCCTTCAATTCAACATATAGAAACATTTCATCTCTATATTGGTAACAATAAAGACTCAATACCATCAGGTAAGTGAAATTCGAAATCCATAGTTCGAATATGTTCTACACCAGAATGAATAAATATATTCAATAATAAAAACGCATTCAAAGAAGTTTCGATTCGGGAAAAACGCGCTGTTCATAAAGCTGTCGTTATCTCATTTTTGCCTTATCTACTGAAAAGAAAGCATTTGAACGCGTTGGGAAAAGTGCGCTTTAAGTGTAGCAAAACCATGTGAACAAAATAAACAACGCGTTCAAACGCAGATTTCAGTGAATTGTTTTTCGTGGGCGATATCACGGTAAACCTACCGAGAATACATCCTATTCCGCAATGTTGAACATTCCGGAACCAGTTCCGCTCACGGAACCAATTCCATCTAATTCCCGAAACTCCGTTTATCCCTTCCGATTCAATTCCGAAATTACACGGAATTCAAACGGATTCCGCCTAATTCCCAACGGTTCCGGAATTCAGTGCACCCACAATAACATCCACACCCACACTTATGGCAACACCCACACTAGCACCCACACTTATGGCAACACCCACACTGGCACCCACACTTACCGCAACACCCACATTTACACCCACACCATGCAATTCCGATACGGAATTCCGGGAATTAGGTCGAACAGGAATTGAACGGAATTGAACGGAATTACACGGGGTTCCTAGGAATTCCGTCTAATTTCCAGCGATTCCGTGTTGATCTAATTCCGGAATTCCGGACCGGAATCGGATCATCACGAAATGGGTATGAAAAGATAGGATAGTGACACAAGTTGTAATTCCGGAATTGCTAGGAATTCCCAGTGACCGCGCTTTCACCTAATTCGAGAATTGCACTGAATTCGGTGGAATTCCGGGAATCGGACGAACCAATTCCGGAATCGGAGGAACTAATTCCGGAATCGGACAGTGTTCATATTTGGCCTAATTTCGGAATCGACGGAACTGATTCCGAAATGTTCAACATTGCGGAATAGGATGACTGCTCAACCTACCACATAATTCCCCCTTAATAAATGCAACTTGTTTTCCTTACTGCATTGACTCACTTTTGGAGCTCGTTCAATGGATCACGGTAAGATTCTCAGTGTCGAAGATACGGGGAAATCTTGAACTTTAGTGCTTTAACATACAATGAGGTAAAAATGTACGGTGGAATACAGTAAAGTATCCCAAAGTATCTCGAAATAGAGCAAATTACTTGGAAGTAGAATTAAATTATTTGAAAGTGCTAGAGTCCGATGCTTCCCTTTTTGCAACGTTCTCATGAAGTCGCTTACAAAACACTATTAATAGTAAGCCTTAGTCAGCATTTGCTAGGATTTGTGTCATAGTATAGGACTATAAATTCATACAAAACTATATATAAAGCAGGGTAGCCGTAAATTGTGTGCTTTTGGAACGCCAATCCAGCAGTGTCCAAGTTCCCAGGAGTCGGGAATTCGTTTGGAGTTGGGAACTCAAAAATGAATAAGTGACAACGAGCGAAGCGAAACCACAACACGTGAAGCATCAGCGGGAACTCAGGGAATCGAAGGAACTTAGGGAAGACAGGGAGTCCAAGGAACTCTGGGAAGTCAGGGAAGTTAGGGAGTCCAAGAAACTCAGGGAAGACAGGGAATCCAGTGAAGTCAGGGAATCCAAGGAACTCAGAGAATGCCAGGAATAGATCTACGACAGCTCTCAGTTCTTGGAACCGATTCTTTTCAAAGAACTGTACCCAATACATAGTTCCTTTTCTGGAACTGTCTCCACATAACAGTTCTTTTTCGAGAACCATATCCTCCCAACAGTNTCCACAAAACAGTTCTTTTTCGAGAACTGCTTTCACAGAACAGTTCTTCTTCAGGAACTGTGGCATAACAAACAGTTCCTTATCGAGAACTGTTGCAGCCCTGCCCATATAGATGATCACGATGCTGTTTTACACAGATCAGTTCCGATCAAAGAACTGTTTGACACAGATCAGTTCCGATCAAAGAACTGTTTGACACAGATCAGTTCCGATCAAAGAACTGTTTGACACAGATCAGTTCCGATCAAAGAACTGTTCAGACAGTTCCGAAGATCGGAACTAATATGGAACTGTCGTAGGTCTAGTCAGGAGCTCAGGGAAGACAGGGGGTCCAAGAAACTCAGGGGAGACAGGGAGTCCAAGAAACTCAGGGAAGACAGGGAGTCCAAGGAACTCAGGGAAGACAGGGAGCCCAAGGAACTCAGGGAAAACAAGGATAATAATGAAGTATGAGCCTTTCATCAATTTGCTTGTATTGAACCATGAGTATTTGGGATATTATGTACTTAATCGGCATGATGCATAATAGCGATAATTGATATAATCGATATATAAATGCAAAGTTGTGGAAATGCACAATTCAATTGTCAGCTTAAGAGTGAGTTCCAGCAGGTTATAGTTATTCCTTATTATCCTTTTGTAATTTTAAAGGTTGAAGAAAGTACGAATTTGTGACGGTGTTCTGTGGGTGTAGTGTGGGTGTGGGTATGAGTGTGGATGTCTTCTACTACCTTCCTTGATAGATACACTTACACAGTATCTCGAGCTCCTTGACTTCCCTGAGTTCCTTGGATTCCCTGACTTCCCTGAGTTCCTTGGTTTCACATCGCTCGTTGTCGCTTTCTTTTTAGTTCCCAATTCCCGAAGAGTTCCCGACTCCTGGGAACTTGGCCACGTCTCACAAGTCGGCGCAGATCTGTACATGAATATACCGACTAAAATGAAACTATAAATGCACATATCACGGGCTAGTTTTCTAAGGAGTTTTTAGGGACACAAAGCACCGAATCAAGTAATATAAAGCCAATGGTTAAAGTAGCTATTCAGGCGATCGTTATTTTTTAACACGAATAGGGAATAGAATTAAAAAGAATTCAGAAAAAACGATAATACTGCCAAGCTGTATACAAACGAATCTGCATAGTGCTGTATTGTATCCGCAGTGATATAAACATCGCTTCTTTGCCAATTTTGTGAAATGCGAACTGAAAGGAGCGTTGAAGTATATAGGGTAGAAGTCTGGACCCACTCCCCGCCCCTCCCCAGACCGTTACAGAGAAATTAATTATTCAGTTAATTGGTTAATTTATTAGTTATTAAATTTTTCTGTAACGGTCTGTGATGATTTCTGAATTCTCTGTAACGGTCTGTGGAGGGGGGAGTGGGCCCAAATTTCTACCTTATATACTTCAACACTCCTTTCAGATCGTGCTATGAAAGAGAAATCTGTAATGACGACGTTAGTAATTCAATTCTTTCACCAACATATGTAAATAAACCTTCGAAACTGTTGACGTGGCATAAAAAACAACCGCTTGTATGAGGTTTTTCTCCAGTGTAATTGTTCGTTTGTCCAATAAATGATGTTATTTGCGACACAGACGTCTTCTCTTCAATTAGAATGGAGAAAAACCTCATACAAGCGGTTGTTTTTTATGCCACGTCAACAGTTTCGAAGGTTGATTTGCATATGTTGGTGAAAGAATTGAATTACTAACGTTGTCATTACATATTTCTCTTTCATCAATAGAAGTAACATTTGCGCAGGATGCAAAAATAGCTTTTGTGAAACACGATCTGAAAAGAGTGTTGAAGTATATAGGGTAGAAATTTGGACCCCCCCCCTAGACCGTTACAGAGAAATTAATTAATCAGTTAATTGGTTAATTAATTAATTATTAAATTTCTCTGTAACGGTCTGTAGTGGTTTCTAGAGATTTCATACATCATAATACAGACTGCAACAGAGAAGCTCCACAGACCATCAGTGACCGTGATAGTCGAATTCCAGAAAAGAAGCTCCATCGTGTTTCACATTTTAATCCCAGAGGGATGGCGCTAACAGCTTTTTTTTATCAGAGAGGAATATTGTACAAGAGGGAAAAGTTCCACATCAAATTGTTACATTTTGTCTGTTGCTTTGTAACAGTCGTCTACTGGTCTTCGCAAAGTAAGATTCACATAGTATGAATAGAGTATTTTCTTAGATTACTGTTGGTTGGCATATGCCATTTTC